ACATCGGGGAAATAGACGAAGAAGGCTACAAATACGTGGGCATACTACAGTTGGACCAGACTCTCAACACCAAGATGAAAGGCAAGATAACATCAGAGTATACCAGTAGAGTCAAGAAGTTGTGTGGATTAAAATTGAATGGAGGAATTTTGATCTGCGGCATTAACACCTGGGCTGTAAGTGCGGTGCGCTACAGTGCAGGGATTTTGGATTGGACAACAGAGGAGGTAGCCAGCATGGATGGAAAAACTAGGAAGATCTTGGCAATGAATGGGTGTCTACACACAAGGAGTAACGTTGCGAGGCTGTACTTGCCGAGGAAGGAAGGGGGAAGAGGAATGAATGGCATCGAAGAGTGCGTAAAGAGGGAGGGCAAATCCCTTCATGGTTATCTGAGTGAGAGCACAGAATGGATACTTCAAGCTGCATTGAAGGAGAAGATTATTGTTGAAGAAGAGAGCCTACAGGACTATGAGAGCCTACAGGACTATGAGAGGAGGAAGAAAGAAGAGAAAGTTAAAAACTGGAAGGAGAAAACCCTGCACGGTGAGTTCATCCAACAAATATCAGATGAAGCTGGAGAGGAGTTCTGGAGATTGTTAAGTAACGAATTTTTTAAAAAGGAGACAGAAGGTTTGATTCTGCCTGCTCAGGAACAGGCTTTAAGAACAAAGTCGATCAAGTACAGTGTAGACAAGACTTCAGAAACGCCACTGTGTAGACTGTGTGAAGACACCACTGAAACAGTAAGACACATTGTCAGTGGATGCAAGAAGCTTGCCCAGAGAGAGTATAGGAAGCGCCACGACAAGGTGGCCCTGCGGGTACACTGGGAGGTGTGCAGAAAGTATGGAATAGAGTGTGCTGACAAGTGGTATGACCACCAGCCCTTGTCAATTGCAGAAAATGGAGAGGTGAAGATTAACTGGGACATGACTATCTACACAGACAAAGTTCTGAGGCATAATCGGCCAGACATTACCCTAATTCATAAAGACACACAGAAATGGACACTTCTTGATATAGCTGTGACAGCGGATCAGAACATCACTCGGGCCGAGGAGGAAAAGGTGGAAACGTACCAGGAACTAGCATACGAAATCAGAAGGATCCATAGAGCTTTGAAAGTCACAATAATACCTATCGTGATTGGTGCTCTCGGTGGCATATAGAAAAGATCAAAGGCCTGGTTTGGCAAGTTAGGTGTACCTGATTTCCTTGGAAGTGTTCATTTATCGGCCATCTTTGGAACTGCTCATCTGTTGGGAAAAGTGTTGTGTCTCTGAGCTACGGGAAGTTGCTGAGACACAAACAACGTTACCCAGTGGAACACCCGACAACTGGAGAGAATTGAAATAATAATGATAATAATAATAATAATAGCATAATGGGATTTAGCAGTGGAAATACCAAGAGGTGGCTCTTGTTGTCATCCGTTTTCAGAGTTGGAGTTTGAAATGTTGGCTTTTGTGGAGAGAGGAAAACCCGTGGACACAGAGAAAAACACTGAGAGGAAGGACAATAAATGGCACAAGGTTTGGGAAACGAACCTGGGCCGCAGCAGTGGGAGGCAAGCGCTCTCACCACTGCGCCATCCCTGCTCCCCAAGATCGAGTGTATCCTTCAGAATTCGGGATAGGCACTCCCCCTGTTTTTAATCCTTTTAATTTTACCCCTATCTCGAAGTTTGTTTTAGTTGTTTAATACACTAAAAAACCGTTGTGTTTTCTTACACAAATCTTATGTACTATAGGGGATGCTACCGAGATTTTAGCAGATCTCTACGTTGAGTCATTTGGAAATATACAAGAAGTAAATATGGTAAGTATTTACAGGATTCTTAACTTCTTTAGGTCTCCATAGCAAAAACCCTGTTCAGATGTTCTCTCCAACTCCTCTCCCAAGAGGCTTAGGAGCTGTGACAATTCTGTAACAAGGAGTGGTAGGTAACATGCATCTTTGAATTAGGGCGGGGAGCAAGCTAAAACTAAGTAGGATCTCACAAATTTTCAGGGTGAAATTAGACAGTTAAGCTTTACAACACAAACTGCAATCGTTATAAAGCTATAAGCTCAATGACCCCCTCAGAAGGTCTTACTGAGATTTTAGGCCTCTATTAAACACATCAGTTGACAAGGGTCAAGTGTTCCTTTAACGAAAATCAGAAAGTGTAATTTCAGGCTAAATTTGTACGACACAAAGTTTATCCGCATTTTATCGCACCTTTTTCGAAATCCCACTGCTGAGAGCGAATTAAATTGTTTGAATCACTAGTGACTGGTGATCCTAAGATGGATATTATACAGGCACTGAAACTTTCATTTACTTCCTTTCATTTGCTTCCTTTTATTTAATTCCTTTCATTTATTTCCTTTCATTTATTTCCTTTCATTTATTTCCTTTGCAGGAGTTTAAGGTGTTTGGATATTTACGACAACAATGGAAAGACGAGAGGCTTTCTGGGAAGCTCGACAAGACTCTTACCATAAAAGGAGAAACCATCAGTCGAATGTGGTTACCAGACCCCTTTTGTTACAATGCACGCGATTCCAACTTAATGCAGCCCGATTCTGAAGTCCACAGCAAAGTTTCAATAGACGTTCAGGGAAACGTACATTACACAAAAGGGTATACCATTTAACTTTTGGAAAAGGCAGAAAACCTGGCGAATAGTTAGTATAGAGTTCGAACAAGGAAAACAGATGCTGTTTTCATTTGTAATTTTGGTTTTATGAACTGAGTTGATAAAGTACATTGGCCAACGTAAAGAGTCTCGAAGCTGAGGTTTCTAGTGTTTGGCCTTCGTCAGAGCGAAAGCAGTAGTTGACTAGTTACATCGAAAATGTCTTCATCGTTATTTTTGTTTCTGATAATCGATGACAGTCTAGTTGTGATCACGCCTGTGATATCTAGGATACATCTAAGGGATAAAAAAACCCAACCTTGCATAGAAGGGTTTATTCGATCATCAGAAGCAGCACGATCACTGACGGAGGCAAAGCTGTATGTCAGTTACTAAGTGGGGTTATAATTAACCGAAACGTATCTGTAAAAACATTATAGTTTGGATATATCAACAAAGTTGAAATGGTAAATTGGCCACCGTAACGATTACAAAAGCTGACGTTTCGAGCATTAGCCCTTCGTCGGAGCGAAACGTTAATTTTACTGCATCAGATTTTGGGCTAGACTCTCGAATTTCGTAGAACTTGATTATTTTTTAAGTCAAAATGACATAGTTAAGAGTTCGTCCTTTTTTTTTTATTCCAGAGTGACTTTCCTTGCATCTTGTGAGATGGATCTTCGTCATTTCCCATTCGATTCTCAAGAGTGTTTTCTAAAACTTGGAAGCTGTAAGTACTTCATTTAATTTTCCCGAGGACAATTAGACTAAACAATAGTTTAACCCTTTGGCGCTCAAGCTTAATTATACTTTCTCTTCGCAAGCATTAATTCAAACTGAAAACGACAAATTCGTTGCTATGAGAAGCTTAATTGACTTTTGGACTTCAATCATTAAAAATATCCACCCATGGGTCTTCGTGTACACCTCCTCAAATTATATCTCCTTTATGCAGATGCTTATTCAACGGAAGACATCATTTACAAGTGGAAATACCAAGAAGTCGAAGTGGAAGCTAAATCGATGGCGCAGTTTGATTACCGCCGGGGTTCTTTATCATCATCTTTCGACATGTACAAAACAGGTTAAAAAAAACTGTATTAAATCGTACAAGAGCCAAACCGACCTTTGAGTGAACAAGATTTATGTCAGATTAAAGAGATGACTGGTTAGGAATTATTCCTCAATTCGTAATTAACACAGATCTGCCAAAGGAGAGTTGTCTGAGCTGATAGTCAATTTCATTAGTAACAATGTTTTTTTCCGATGTAAGATTTGGTTAGTGTGGCTTATCAGTGATTTCATTTCTTTGTTTGACCACTAAGCCGACCTTGCTTGTCCTCTTCTCATCTACGTGGAAAAGGTTTAACCAGTCAAATCCACAAAATCACTGACCAAAGCAATATGATCAATTAACAGTTTCCACAACAGTTATAATCTCGACCAAAGAATATATTTCTGTTTCTTTAGGAAATTTCTCCACCGTCACAGTGACATATTACTTCAAGCGCCGCATGGGTTACTATCTAATACAAGTCTACTTTCCGGATATCTGCGTTGTGGCTCTGAGCTGGATTGTCTTCTGGATGGATAAAAATGACATGGGCAACAGAATGGCTTTGGGAATTACCACCATATTAACCATAATGTTCCTCCTTGGTTCTCTTAATGGTACAATGCCAAGAGTGAGCTACCCAAAGGCTTTGGACTGGTACCTACTGGTGTCTTTTTCTTTCGCGTTCCTATCACTGGTTGAGTGCATGATCGTGTTCGTCGTTTGGCTAAGCTCTAACAAAAGAAAGGCGAAGAAGGTTTGTTTCTATATCCAATTCTACCTTCATCCTTAAATCTAACGATACGGCAGCTAATTTACACAATCATCTAAGTTTATGAAACCAAAACCAAAATATCTTGTAGTAACCCACACCCTCCACTGATGCAGCACCACAGCTTCATTACAAAACTACTCCCTTCCCTCTGAAGCTGTTATTAGGTTCATGTACGTATCCCTCGTCCTACTGAAAGCTTAAAAGTAAACCAGTGCAAGATCAATAAAGGTCGTTATGAGCTCACTGAAGTGTTCATGTCTCGATAGGAAAACGAAGGCTCTCCAACCTCAAAATCACCATCAACTGTTAAAGTCACATTTCATGGTGGAAAACACGACTCTCAAACTGACGACAAGGCTAATCACGTAAGTCTTTCAAACATCGAAGGCGTTGTCAAGGAAAACACCTCATTTTTAGGCCACGAAAAACTTCCCAAGTCGTATGATGCCGCTGATTTAATTGACAAAATTTCACGGGCCTTGTTTCCGATGGTCTTCTTCATCTTCAACATTGGATACTGGTGCTATTATTCACTTGATGATTAGGAAATGATAGTTGATGAGCCAATTGAAAGCAAGGATCTATATTACAGGCCACACTGCGACTGTGAAATACCAACTAATCAAAGCTGATCACTTTGAAGCCCGAGAAACGGTTGGACACTGAAACCAGCCTTGTACCTGAGCACGTTGTAATATACTTCTATCCCAAGCAAGGGTAGCATAACTGATTGAGAAAAGTAACATTTCTTTTCCTATAAGTAATGTGTTGTAAATGTTACCCTGAAAAAACGGGGGTATTGTCAGTTATGCTCTCTTGCTGAAAGTAGAGTTGCACGTAATGCCAAGATATCGTGGTCAGCAACTTTTCGTGCTGTTATGTAATGTTTACAACGATGTAAAGTTAGTCTTGAGGCAAAGTGGCTATCATGTGAAAAGTTTCCATAGATCCATAAATGATCCGTAGTATCTGAATGAAGATTAAAACAGATAAAAGAAAATCAGAAAAACTGTCCGTAAGAAAACCGTACTGACCTTAAGAAACCTAACAGGCCGGGCTAGCTCAAAGAAACATTGGAACTAAAGCTAGCTGCCGTTCGACAGATTAATGACCGACTTTTCACCATCAGGGAAGAACAACATTCAAAGGCGGACTAAACGCGAGCAAATAGAACCAATAAACCTCAACCAAATTAAAGCACTTTTGAGCTGGCATTTATGGAGGAACCCTACTGTTTGATAAATAACAAACCATCTTAGGTAAATATTCCTTAGATTCTGTGAATGATATAATTTCGTTGTTCCCAGTTTCGCACGACACCGCCGGAAGACTGTGGCAAAAATTCATCTTTATTTTTTATCTGTAGATGAATTATCTTTGGTACTGTTTTGCTACCCCGGGTCAGTACTTGAAAAGAACGAAAAAGTCTTTTCGATAAAAGAATACGCCGTGGTTTATTACACAGCGTGGAAATCGAATAGGTAAAATATGTAAGCTATTGAGGGTACTGTAATATACGCACCGGTAAGTACAAGTGTTAACGCACAATTTTGCATCTGAACAGACAAATCTGATAGACCAACAGCATCTGTACGTTTTAGTTGAGGGCCATTTACTATCTTCTCTATGTGTGCATGCGCAATGACGTGTTTTTGACCAAATCTACGGTGCAAGATGTCCTGGGCATTTTCGTAACCATGTTCAGGTGGGAAGACTATAGAGCAATCTTTGATGGCTTCTTTAGCCTTTCCTGTGCAGTGCTGGATGAGGTACGTGAGTCTTGACTCGGCATCTGGAACCCTTTTGGCAATATTGACTTCCAAGTTTTTGATGAACAACCGGTAATTCAGAGGATTGCCATCGAATGTGAGAAGCTCTGTTTTGGGCATTTGAAGTGCTTGCTGAAGGGAGTAAGCCATTAGATGCAGAGCTTCCTGTTGCTGCCCCAATACTTGTTGTAACCGTTGTGAAACAATGGGATATTCACCACTAGCAGCAAACCGAGTAGGGACTGGGTTCCACGGTTCGGCAGTTGGATTCAGCTCAGATCTTAAATAAGTTCTCCCTACTTGATTCCGTTTGCCGTTTGGAAGAGTTGGGTTTGTGGCGGAAAGAGTGGGGTCATGCGCTTCCCTTGTGTGAGGTGGTTTTTTCTCTTCTTTCGATGCAGACTTTGAGTACTCTGAACCTTCATAAAATTCGCCTATCGCCTTGGCCTTCTCTATTTCTTCTTCAATCTTTCATAAAGCGATGCGACGTTTCAGTTCATCCTCTTGAATTTTCAGCTCAGCAATTTGACGTTCCATTTCTCGCTCCATTTCTTGACGCTTTAACAAGTTCCGAAGCTCTACTTCTCGCCGAAGTAATTCAGCCTTTGCCTTTCTCGATCTTTCACTTACGCGCGAACTAGCCCTCGAACTTTTGAACTTTGCGCTTCTAGAGTCAGCACGTGAAAGCGTAGCGTAACGTTCCAAAACGTCGACATTTTCTTCTTTTCGCGAGGACATTAACATTTCATTTGGAGACTTTTCAGCCGTCTGCAACCACTCTTCAAGACGTTCCTCGAACTCTTTTCTGCCGATCATTACGCTGTAGTAATCGTTAAGCGCTTCTGCAATCTTTCCGGGTTCCACAGCGAGTTGGTAATATTCTTCGTACGACTGCAAACATCTGCCAAACGCGTCTTCAATATCTTTCTTCTTAGCACGTATTTCTCGAATGTTTTCGGGGTTTTGCATCAATAATTCGGCTTCTTTGTACAACCTGTTCAAATATCCAAGGTGACCAGCTCGACTTCTCTTTAGGGAGAGCATTCTTTCACGCGTAACACCTTCGATGTCCACGTGTGAACTTGGTTGTCGCGTCCTTTCGACGCCCTTTTCACCCGCTTGCTCGTTTGATGTAAAACTCGTAGCCATAATTCGACCGGAATAAGGGCAAACAGACGATAGAACGGCTTAATCCTACGTCGGAAACTGTAACGTACGCACTGGTAACATCACTCAATGGCTATCCGAACCATATACGTTTATTTCTCGACCAGTGGTTTCTATAACAAAATTAAACTACACTAAGTGTAACTACGGAAAATAAATGGCATGAACAAAATAATAAACGATATAAACGCGGCGAAATGAAAACATAAAACACAACTGACGGTTTGGATCATGAAATAACGCGAGACGCAGCTTAAAGACAAACAACACCAAACTACGTAACATAAAAAAGCTTTTACGCGCGAACACTACAATATATATGTTGACGGAAGGGGACTGAACCCCACCACGTGAACGGACCGCTGGCCCCAAATTCGTTGTAACAGGTACAATTCATTAAAGTATAGGCACAAAGTGTAAGCTAAGTCTAGCTACTATTTAGTAGATTATTATGTCTGACGTTTCTATTTCGTAGATTGTAGCTCTCACGTAAGTCTTACATAAAAACAATCGCACGAAGAAGGAATTTCGAAATGGAATGAAAAACCATACAAGAACAAATCAGTATTCTTACCTTTTTTGTCCTCCAATTAATTTTCGTGAGATATAACATAAATTAATGATTTGCTTTGTTCTACTATATCTGAATCCTGCCACACGCGAAGGCACCATTCAGTTGGAACAGCTGGAGACTACTGGTCCCCATAGAAATTACAGTTTCTGCATTTGCATTTTATAAAGGAACACTTTTTATAATCATCGTTTTCAAAAAGGTTTCACCGCAAGGGGTATCCCAGCAATAGCAAAACCATCGTTCTTGATTGAAATTGCGTTATCGCTCTGAAATTGTCTCGGATATGGTTATTCTTGCTCTTAAAGGCGCTGATGAATGAGTTACGTCTTAAGGTAAGTGTACTTGAGACATGAAACTAACCTTCTGCCTCAAGCACTTGAGGTTTTGATCATAAATTGTCATAAATTCTGCTTCGAAGATAGTTGTGTTTTAGTGTTGCTATAATTAATCCAGCCGAAGCGTTTTTAACGATCGTGAAAGAATAACGAATCGTAATAGCTTGAGCTTCATTAATTTTACTCATAGCAGTGATGTTATATATATGGCTTTTCGCTTCACCGTTGTATATACAGAGGTGGTTTAGAACGTAACTTATATGGATCGGTCTCAAGGTGTTGTTGTAATGATGATTACTGAAATTGGGCCAAGATAAATTCTGACGCATACATATGTTGGACCAACTAAGGTCCTTCGAAACGCAAGGGTATGGCTCAAATACAGTATAAACTAACTAAATGTAGATTGTGTATTGTTCAAAAACTACCACATCTGCCATACGAAGTAAATACACAAGAAATCGCGAACTTTATAGACAAATCGACGACACTTGGCGATGCAAAATTATTGGCAAGATTTGATAACGCCATCGAAGTTCATCGTCATGAATGTGCTCCTTGAACGCTTACGGAATCAACACCTTCCTTTCGGTCTCTGAATAATGAAATTATTTTCTAAACTTTTCAAAGTTCGACTCGTCGCTGTATACGTCGTTAAACCTCTCTACCTGTACCAATTCTTTTACCTGTAATATTTTCGTGTTTGGTCGGGATTTTATTCAGTGTTTTTCTTCCCTTGGGCATCATTAATTCAAACAAGATTTTTTTGTCAATAATTGAAAAAAGTGATATCCCCTCCACTTCAACATAATACCGTTGAAGATGCACTAAAAAAGATCAGTACGTTTTTGTTACAAGACGTCGAGGCTAGACTCAATCAACTCTCTGTAGATGTGTGTCGTTGGGCCAATTTAAACCGAATGGCGCTCAATGCGGCCAGAACGAAATCCATGCTAGTGACCACAAGGCAAAGGTTACGACATCTCCAAAGCCCTGATCTGAACGTCTCTGTGAATGGTATCGTCGTTGAACAAGTTAACTCAGCTGAGATACTTGGCGTATTATTGGATGATCACCTCACCTGGGACCAGCACGTAGATTGGCTCAGCAAAACACTAAATAGTCGACTTTCCCTTCTCAGGAGAATTTCTCCTTTCTTGGATTTTCCGAGTTCTCTTCTTTTTCACAACTCTTGCATCCATAGTAAACTTGCATACTGCTCTACAGTCTGGGGTCGTGCTCCAGGGATTCTCTTCTCCGCCTTCTGCGTTGCCAGAAGCGAGCTGCTCGCATCCTTCTGAGTGCCGATTTTCTGTTCCATCAGTCTCGCTTTTTTCTAGACTTAACTGGATTCCGATCATCGATGTCATCAAATGCAGAAAGCTACAAATTCTCTATTCCATTCTTCTGAATCCTGACTCTCCACCTTGTTTACGGTGTAGCTTTAGCTTTCTATTTTCGGTGCAAACCCGGTACTCAACAAGAGGCGCAGCATCTTGCAATGTATCTCTCCCTAAACCCCGCACCAACTCTGGTAAGCGCACCTTCCGCCTGCTCAGTCGCTACTCTTTTCAATGGTCTTGAGACGCATCTCAAGCAACTTACTTCCTCCTCTATACTACCTATCTCGCTCAACACCGTCCTCACTACTGTCAAGCGGAAAATCCGCCTATTTTTCACTAACAAGCTTGCACGCATATTGCATTTAGAGGATTTTTTTGTTATGATCGCCGTTTTTCACCGGATTGTAATTGCTATTCAAACTGATTAGTGTTTTATATGAATGTAATAATTATTACACTTTTTGTGTGTGTATGAATTATATTAAAATCTGTAATGTAAAAATTAATTGTAATTTTAAAATGTACTGTGTATACATGTGAGGGCCATATGTTAGAAAACTTATGTAAATTAATATGTTACCCTCGTTAAATAAACATGTACGTATGTATGAAGCCCAACTATTGCAAAAAGTACGGTTAGGAACGATGTGTACTTAGAAAAGATTTGAAAACTCCTCGTTGTTCATTATCAATGTTTAGAACCATAGGAACTCCAGGGGCACTTAAGATTCCTGTGAAGTACACTTTGTTGTGACGAAGATTGTTAATCGATAGTCATCGTTTATGCTCTTCAGTATTTTACATGAAATTCTTTTTCGAGGCTCGGCTCTTTAATTTAGGCAGAGAAAGATGACCTCAAAGGAGTTTTAGAAGATGATTGGCACCAAATCTGTAAAAATAAGAAACGACAATGTGGTTGGTCTGCACACAATGACTCTTTACTCACATTAAGACGGAAACTAAATTCTCGTCTACGTCCCGAAATTTATTTCAGCATTGTTTTAACACCAATACTCAAGGTCTTAAAGTAACTGAGGAGAATTTGCTACCTTTCTATAATCAAGAAATGGATAGATATTCTCGTCTTCTCGGATAAGGACGAATAAAACCGTAGGCCCCGTCTCCTGCAGGGTTAGGGGTAGGAGACGTTAATTTCCCACGCACGAGATTACTGTGTGGTGGATATCCTCCCCTGGGTGGGATGGGTGGGTGTTGGCCCTGAAAAGCCCCTATGGGGAGTGGTCAATTAACCTATGTATGTATGTATGTATTGTCTTGTCTTGTAAATAGAACTGCAGTTAAGCAACCCTCTCTATGGATCGCCTGTTGCCATCATTTAGCAGTCACAATAGAGATATACATGAGGCTTTTTTATCATTGACAGTTGACAGCCATGCAGAAAGAAACTCGTCTAAATGTAAATGTTTTCTGGATATTGAGGATCTACGTCCTCCTAGCGCGGTAAGTAATAATAACACCTTCATTTAGACACGATAATGTTTAAAGCTGAACAGCTTGTGGGGTCATGTGTAAATCCAAATAAACTCTAACTTAAATAAATTCAAATGATGATGGTTTTTGAGGAGAGGGGAAAACCGGAGTAACCGGAGAAAAACCTCTCGGAGCAGAGTAGAGAATCAACAAACTCAATCCGTTTATGACGCCGGGTCCGGGAATCGACCCCGGGAAACATTGGCGGAAGGCGAGCGCTCTCACCACTCCGCCAACCCTGCTCTGAGAAATGCACTTATATGTTACGGTTCACTATTTTTTTTTTTCGCTTCAAATATTTGGCATGTCTTTTTAAATCGCGTTTTTTAATCCGAACACAGACAATAAACATACATACACATAAAGCGCACGCATAAAAAGCACAGTGTAGTAGTAGAGAATATGAATAAGGTTAACAAGATCTTTCGTCACCAGTCATTAAAAAATCGTTGCAAATGAAATATCGACCTAAATTTTAAATAGTTGCCCAGATTTATCTTTGTCTCATTATCTCAGCTTTATAACAGGAATCAAGTCAAGCGCAGTGAAAAAAGCGCTAGTCGCTAATTACGATGATGCCGTGAGGCCAGGACTCTTTGAAGGTACAATTTAATTTATTTCAGTGAACTATGTTAGTATATGATAGACCATTACCTGAAAAATACGTTTCTTCAGTTGAATTGATTTATGATTAGCAGGCAAATATGCATGGGAGACGTTTAGACAGCGCGAGAGAAGAGTGGGAGTTGCTGAAGGCGTAGCCTGGGGCAGCTCTAGTATCTTTGGTGTTCTGCAAACCTCTTAAATGCATTCATATCTAGAAGCAGACACAGCTATAAGCTTGGACCATAGCGGACAAAATTCGCTTGTTTGAATCGATAAGGAAACCGACGGCTCTAAGAGAGGTTTCAACCTTTTAAAATGGTGTTAACTTTCGTTGTTTGTTTTTACGGCAAACACTAGTGCCGGTTGAAGGAAACTGAAGTGCGCTAATGAAAATTTCTTCCGTAGTTTCTTCGAAAAGCTATATCGGGAAGTTTAACTTAACCACACAGGAACTTAGCACTTAGGATATTCCGTTCTATCCATTGATCCTCATAAAACAAGACCAAAAAAGCTTCGTTATGTTCTTGTAGGTTTGCCTGTTGAAGTGTCGGTACAACTCCATGTGGAGTCCTTCGGGAATATTCATGAGGCCGACATGGTAAGAAAAATATTAAGGGCCTCAACATAAACAAAATCAGATGTTCCAACATTTGCATGTAAGCTAGAGATATGAAATCTCTTGACACATAGATCACTTATAAGAATACAAGAGAAATTTTCAACTGAGTGCTAAAAGTTACCCAGGATTTTCTTGGTTTTTCTTTACTTCCCTCTGTGATTGGTCCAGAGAACTCGCGCCACTCTCTCGATATAAAACTTTCACCGATCACGACGCGGTCGCGTGCGTTCTCCCGCGCTTTAGGCGTTTTGGTTGGTTTTATTTTCAGTTCTTATTGGCTCTTAAAGATATTTTCCTTTCTTCTCTGTGGTCATTGTGATTTCTTTGATCTTCGTTTTACTACATTCAATCGAAAATGGCCGTGATGCGCAAACTGTCCTTTTCAGCCAACATTAAACTGCAGATGGCCAAATTCAATAGAGTTTTCATTTTTGTCGTTGCAATAAAAAATGGACGTGAGTTTCACTTCTTAGGGTCTATTTTGGCACTCATTTTAACGCACTTTCAGAATAACCATTCAGTCCAACTTTGCTAGATCAATCTGAAAACCTTCTCCTGAATTTCTTTTTTTAGGAATTCGAAGTTTACTCTTACCTTAAGCAGATTTGGACGGATAAAAGACTAGCAGGGAGAATCAATCGCAGTATCACCCTCAAGGGGTCTGATATCAACCGTGTCTGGACTCCTGATGCGTATTGTTACAACGCTCGATTGACAAACTTGATGTTACCCGACACAGAAACGCACAGCAAAGTATCCATTAGTCCCGAAGGAGTGCTCGAATACAGTAGAGGGTAAATTTTGAATAGCCCTTAATCCAGTTCTGCGTGCGCGGTGTAGTTGAACAGCGGCTTCCTGTATTAGTGCACACGAAAGCGAGGCTATCGGATCAAGCTTTCTCGAAGATTACAGAAGTTGTGAAGTCGAATTTAGCATGAGCGTCGAAAATGTTGAATTATTTTCATGAGCATTTCTATCGGCCAAAGAGAAAGTGAAAATATTAAGCGGTAAGTGTCCTCGTGATTCTAAAAAAGGAAGGCTGAAGGAATGGCTTTCGTATCGCAAAGGAACTGCCAAAGATAGAAGTGCTGGATCGACAGCTTCGAAACCTGTGCTAGTTCAAAGGTGAGTTTATAATATTTATTTAAATCTTGGCATTTTTACCCTGATCATAAGTCGTTACAGAATCTTAATGTCTGCGTACCCTTTCCTTAAAATAGGGTTATAAAGCTACAGCAAGAACGGATGGGATGACGATTTTCTTGAAAAGTGGCAGCACTTGGCATGTAAACAAGTGAACGAAGCAAGCAAAACTACTAGTACCACCACAGCTGTTTCAAGCAGTGGTCTTCCTGACTCTGTAGATTCGAGTGGATCTTTTAGCACGATTGTATCTGTGTTTTCGATCCTCTTCAGTTGCTCATCAATGACACTGATGTCCACAGTCGTATCCTTCCTTACATTGAGACATCTCGCAGTCTCAGTTCTCTTCTTTGTTGTTGTTATTGCTGCTTGTCGATCATAAGGTATTCTCCTCCTGTAGTGTTTAGGATGCCAACGAGCATGTAATATGCGCGATGTAATGTGATGCGTGATGTGTGATGTAATACCCTCGAGACCTGCATATATACAGCATGTGTTTAATTATTTAGTTAGTTCTCTTAGGTACGCGAATAAAACTGATTCCATTTTAACCGCTGTGTACTACACCTCCGTGGCTTTTCAGCGGAGAAAATAAACTTCGTAGGTATAGCGTCCGGTTTGAGTCGCATTCGCTGCCCTCCTAGGGACTTTACAAAGCACTCAGGCTCAAAATGATCGCTACATAGATAGGAATTTTCGTTTAAAGGAGTGTTCTCCCTTCGGAATTTTACCAGCCATTTCTGGAGAAGATCTTTGTTTGATAGCGGTAACGAATGCTATGTGAGGCCGCAACAATCTTCTTTTGAACTTCGGCTCGTACAGCCAAAGGCTATACAGTGTCTAACCATTATGTTTTAGCTAAACTTTAACAGCGATGTAATATTTTCTACACTCCTGTTAGTAATCTTCAGTGAAGCTTGATCCAATAGCCTCGCTTTCGCGTACGCAACCATAGGATACTGCTGTCCGACTAAACCGCGCACGCGGAACTGGAATAAGGGCTATTGTAGAGTTAAACTAGGTAAAGGTGCCGCTCGTGCAATAGATATACCATTAAAATGAGCCTCCATGTATCTGACAATAGTGGATCTGCGACAAACGTCTTTTTACACGGTCGCAGATGCACAGGTAACACAATTTACACATAACGGTAGTTTTTTGGACCGATGAAAAAAATATTACCTTATAAGGAGGGAGGGGCGTGCAGAAAAGGTATGACTGGTGTAACCAAATAATTAATTTGCTTGAAAAAAATTAATTCCAGCGTTTCATTCAAAGCATCATGTGTGATGGACCTCCGCAGTTTCCCTCATGACAGTCAGACGTGTCATCTAAAGTTTGGAAGCTGTAAGTATTGATTTACTGACCGTCTGGCCCATCGCGTTTGACATTGGATAATAGCGAGTTGTAGGCGAGCGGGGATGTTGTTCCTGTGATATCCTATGTGATGTGTACTTGATAAGTGCACGCAAAGTAGCATAAGTGCATGCAAAGTAGCTCCTCGTTTATCTTTTGTTTTAAAGATGCTGCCTTTATTTAAAACATTAATATTAAAATACCGAGCAACAACCAATGAAAATCAGTCTGTAATTTTTCATATTTTCGGTGTGTCAGGTAATATTACCACGAAGCTACTATAATGCTATTTTGACTTGATTCAAATTTATCTACTGTGTATATTTAATCCATAGTAACATTTATGCGCAAAGTTCGGAACTCATTGGGATCGCAAACCTCTTAGTCAAACAGGGACATGATTGAACGTACAAAACATATAACCGTCTTGATATGCTCACGACTAAAAAGAGAAAGAAAGTCTGAGTTCTGAATAAGGACGAAGACCTCACTTTCCAATTATTATTCGATGCTTCGACACTATGCTTTAGGTTGATCTACCACGTTATAAAATCGTGACTATTTTCCGTCTGGCTAACCAGGATTAGCAATGTCTTGTGGGACAAACGAGTGACTCAACTGCTTATTTTCCAGATGCCTATGACGATAGTGACGTCATTTTCAAGTGGCAAAGTAGCGATGTTCACGTCAGTCGTGATAATATGGCGCAGTTCAAGTTTCTTGGCGCAAAGTTTTCTGCTGATCTGGACAGTTACACGGGTGGTAAGATCATGAAGAGTAAATGGATGAGAGATCCTGTGTAATTCTCGTGTTAAGAAACGGTTCATATCCAATTCTAACTCCCTCCCCGTCACGCAACGTTTCGAGAGCGTTCACGGGACTTTAAATAGTCAGAACTAGTCAAACGTATTTCAAATCATCTCCCCTAACAACATCACCATCCATATTTTCCATACTGCCCTCTTCACTTTTTCTAATGACAAGAATAATGTGTTAAACAATCAAGAGCGTTTTTAGTTGGCGATCATTTCCATTGTTCCTATGACCTTACTGTTTAATTTACCAGTGATACTAGAAGCAAGGCACCCAGAGGCGATGATTAGAACTTTTAAGGCAGAGGGCACCAACCTTTTACGCAAACGTTGCAGAGTACATCTTTCTAAACGATGATAAATATATTAATTTTTCTCTTCCATGTATTTCATTTCTGTTTTCATATTTTGTTCTTTCCATTTTTCCCCAGTCAACTTTACCACCATTACTGTTTCCTATACGTTCCAGCGTCGCCTTGGCTACTACGTCTTACAAGTTTATATTCCTGACATCCTGATAGTCCTGTTAAGCTGGATTGCGTTCTGGATGAACCCGGATAGTCCTGGTGATCGACTCACAATCGGAATCACTACAATCCTGACCATCATGTTCCTGTCTGGAGCTGTTAATGCCTCCATGCCGCCGGTCAGCTACGCTAAAGCGGTGGATTGGTATCTTATTATATCATTTGCGTTCATATTTCTCTCGGTTATCGAGAGCCTGGTTGCGTATGTGATGTCTTCGAGGCCAGTTAACAAAGACTGCAGTTTTGACTAAAACAGTACGGTGAGTGAAAACGATAATGATGATCACGAAGGAAACGAGAGCGACAACGGCGGAGACGTCGACGTTGTTGATGCTGTTTTTTGTTGCTGCATTTTTTTTTCGGTTTAGACCAAATTCCCCTTGGTTACGAATATTATGTTATTTAAGAGGAAAAGTATACCAAAAAGCAATTCTTGTACATAGAGACCGGTTGTTCGATGTCCGATGAAAAGGCAGACTTTTGTTTTGTTTATTTTTCTTTTGTAAATACGCATGATTGGGCTCACTCAAGGGCTTTCATCTCGTTGCAAGCCAAAACTGAGCATCAGTTTATTTTAAACTCATATTAGCTTATTTATTTCGAAGCAATCTTACCCAGACCGTTTTTTTATCAAAATTGGAGGGTTTGCGACTAGGTGGAGAGCTATTGGGCTCCACCATTTAATAATTTATCATTTTCCATGTAGCTAACGTACTGTGTTACTTACCACTGTGTGGGTAATTGTGCAACTGTCTCCGACAGAAAATTGCTACCATGGAATACTTTTAGTGGAATTCAACAGCACTAAAGTGCATGTGAAAATGGAAGTTAACCCTTAATCTTTCAGGAATGCCAATCCTTTCCATCCAAACAACCGCCATGTTCTAACGCTTACCTGCGAAAAGCTGGAGCAGCAAAACGCAAAGTCCCGGATGAAGATCTGTTAAATGGGCTGACCATGAACATTGCGATAATGGACCAATCACTACCCCTGTCACTAGAAGACATCGCCCACATGGAAAAGAAAGAGAGATGGCAATCACTCATACAACAGAGGAATAGTCGTGCAGTCCGGCTAGATCGTGTGTCACGAATTCTCTTTCCTGTAGCATTTGCTTGCTACACAGTTGGTTACTGGATCAGCTACTCGTGAATTAAGTCCAAGAGCGTCGCTGGAAAGGAGGGGGGAGGCTAATTTGCCTATGATTCCATCACTTTTTCAAGAAAGACGATTACTTGTAACCATAGAAACCCCCCTCCACTATAGCAACATGAAGAAATAAATTGTGGTTTAGAACCAGCTTACGATTAAATAATGCCCCTGTTCACTAAGACTGCAAACGGCGAAAGGTAGGCAGGCGTGGTCTCAAGCACACCTGAATCGAAAAGTAACGGAAATTTCGAAATCAAAATTATTCGAAAACATAAAAGAATCATTGAAAGGCGAGGGACCAAAGAGCTGAGGAGTAGGATTAATAAATAAACAGATTAGCTTGCAGTATCATGCTTGTAATATTTGACAAATCGGGATGAATTATCG